GCTGGAATGGGTTGCTTTCTTGGTCCCTCTTCCTCGATTGACTGATAGTCAAGGCATCATTAAAAGCCAAACTAGCCTGAGAAAGGAACCTAGAGCCAGAAAGTACTGAGGTTCTGTTGGTTAGATCTTCACAGATTCTTTCCACAAGTGAGCCCCTTATCTGTGAGCTACCCCAGCCCCAGCCTCCAGCTGCCTCCTTTTTCCCCACTCCTTCCTCCTCCATTCCTACTTCCCCACTTTGCCAGGATAGTAGTCCCCAATAGAGGTTCTCTCAGGGGTGAGATGGAAAAGAGGAAAGAAGGTGGAGGGGCAATAGCATAAGTTCACTTTTAGGATTTTTTTGACTAGGGGCTCCAAACTTTAATTATGTTTAAAATGAAATATACTTAATACCCTTACATAGTCTGCTATAACAAAAAGATTTCAAACTAAAAGAGCTATTTTACTTGACATGGGGACTTCTGAGTCCACTTTTACTTTGTACATAGCACCCAGCCATTCTGCAGTAAAGGAATATAGTGACCCTAAAATATAATGAAATTATAATGACCCAAAACAGAGGCAAATGTCCATATTTGTCTAACATCCAATCCTGCAGTCCAAAGACTGTACCAGTGTAACAAGGACCAGGTTAACTCTACAACTAGAAATTTTTAGAAAACAATAGGCCTATTGAGTGAATCACCCAAAACTACAGAATGTTAAAAACAATTCATAGGAGTCCAATGACAGAATCATAAAATAGAGAGCCACTTTACGATAAGGTGGACCCACTGGGCTGCCAAACAGGGGTTCCCTCTTGTTGTAGCTCGCCCAGAACCCAAGTGGTCTCCAAGACTGTAAGTGTAAGAAACTACATATAAATAAATGGCTGGCAAAAGTATTTATTGCATATCGGTTCATGCTTACTATTTTGGAACCCTATTTTTGCCATCTGCAATATAAGAACAAGCATAAAAATATAAGATACATTTTGAGACAGTTGGGGTCATTTGGACATGGACTGTGCATTAAATGATACTACCGAGTAATGTTAATTTTCTGAGCTGTGATGATAATGTGGTGGTGATGTAGGAGACTGTCCTTGTTCACATGACATGTAAATTAAACTTTTATGGATGAAGTCTTAAAAGATCTGCAACTTGCTTTCAAATAGTTCAGCAAAAAAACCCACAAATAGTTCATCAAAAACAAACACACACACAAATATGCATACATGCATAGTAATAAAAATCGAGAAGCAGGGGCGCCTGGATGGTTCAGCTGGTTGAGCCTCCAACTCTTGATTTCGGCCCAGGTCATGATCTCAAGGTTCATGAGTTTGAGCCCCGCATTGGTCTCCATGCTGATAGCACAGAGCCTGCTTGGGATTCTCTCTCTTCCTCTCTCTGCCTCCCCCCTATTCATTCTCTCTCAAAAATAAATAAAACTTTAGAAAAAATTAAAAAGTAGCTTGACTAACACCCCAATTCCATGAAAGTCTAAAGGACTGGTATCACCAGGTACTTATGCAGCAGGGCTATAAGGGGAGGTGACTGAAATAAGGAGGACTGGGTAAAAATCTGTGTAACTCCTTCCCTCCCAGTTCCATGAAGTCAGGCCACATGGATGGGAGATTTGTTCTGTAGAGAAGGTAAAACAGAGGATCTCTTAATCAGGCTAATCATACAGAGTTGAGTGTCACAGCAGGCATTGGTGGTATAGTGCTAAGCATAGCTGCCTTCCAGAGTTGAGTGTCAGGGTACTTATTATAAACATAGATATTAATTGAATATTTACCTACTGAATGGTAGACATTCCTACCTTCGTCCTCCAGCTGGTTCTTGTAAGTTAGCAACCAGCTTTTATCCTGTAGGCAAGAGCTTGGAAGATATTCTGAGATACTTCCAATAAACTAGCCACAAGAAAATTCCTAAAGTTACCACCATTGGGGCTTTCACAAACAACACAGCCCAGCTAAACTTCCCTGATATGAGTAGGTATCACCTACCGGTTGATCAACCCATTCCACATGCTTCTACTTCCAAATAAGAGCAGCCAAACAAGCAGCATGAGCTATCAGGGGACAGCCTCTGATATGAAAAACAGAGAGCAAAATAAACATAAAAATGCAAAAGAGACACAGAGGGAAAACCATGTAAAGACACAGGGAGAAGATGGCCATCTACAAGCCAAGGAGAAAGGCCTCAGTAGAAATCAGCCCTACTGCCACCTTGATCTCGGACTTCTAATCTTCAGAACTGTGAGAAAATAAATTTCTCTTGTTTAAGATGCATGCACACACACAAACAGCAAAAATTTTAAAAGGAGAAGGAAACAATTCAAAAACCAAAATTATCACTAATAGACAAGATGATACAACCATGAAACACAAGAATACTATATACATGTATATATATATGTATACGTATATGTATATGTATGTGTGTGTTTGTGTGTGTGTATATACACACACATACATATATATATATACACACATACATACATATATACATATGAAATGATAACCAGGGCACTTGGGTGGCTCAGTCAGGTAAACTTCCAACTTCAGCTCAGGTCATGATCTCGTGGTTTGTGAGTTCGAGCCCCACATTAGGCTCTGTGCTGACAGCTCAGAGCCTGGACCCCGCGTCGGTTTCTGAGTCTCCCTCTCTCTCTGCCCCTCCCCCACTCATGCTCTGGCTCTCTCTCTCAAAAATGAATAAACATTAAAAAAATTTTTTTTAAAAAAAGAAAAAAACTTAAGAGTGGGGAAATGCTTCTGGAAAATTAAAAATAAATAGTTTAAAAATATGATAGCAGAAATGAAAAGAACTCAACAAAAAGATTAGAAGATAAAGTCTCTTCCAAAAAGAGAAGGGAAATAAAAATTTAAAAAAAGAAAAGAAAATTAAAGTACAAGTCCAGGGAATCCTATATTGGAATAATAAATTCCAGAAAGAGCAAACAGAACAAAAAAGAGGGGAAGAGACACCAAAATAATTTAAGGACCTTTCCCAGAGTTGAAGGGCATGAGATTCCATTGAGAATACCCATCATGACAGACAGACTAATACGAAGGTCCATTGTCATGGAATTTCAGAACACTGGAAACAAAGAGAAAAATCTTACAAACTTCTAGAGAGCAAAAACAGCCATCAAGGTCTCAAATAATGTACTTCCCATACACTCTTTCTCTAGAAGCTACTGGAGCAAGTATTCCAAAAGCAAATCAAGACAGAGAAAAATCTGGGATACAGGAAACAAGAAAGCTATCACAAGAAGGAGAGCTACATGTGTGCCAGGTGCCCAGGGTAAATGGTCTGAGAGAAAGTGGGGAAAGTTCTCCAAAGAGATTAATCAATAAAATACCTCATGTACCTGGATATATGAAGGAGATTTAGATCTTGGAGAAGAGTTTAGGGTTGAAATGGTAATAATACAAAACTAAAAAAGCAAGGCAATTATTAATACCAGGGAAAACAAAAAGTGGTACAGGGAAGAAGTAATCATCAATAGTTCAAGGCTCAGTTATAAACAGGGTTTATATAATCATAGAGAAAAGAGATTAACCAAAATTATGATGTATCTATATTGAGAGTAGCAGTGGGGACAGAAAAGATGAATGTGTTGTAATGATGTGTGGGAGGACAGACAAGAGTTAAATCTTCATCTTCCTTAGTGAGAAGTCATTAGATAATTCCTCAATCTCATAAGCCAGAGAGGAGCAAGACACTGTTATTTAAAATTTTGGATGTATATACCAAAAGAATGTGCTAAAAGAGTTTAAAGTGAGAACCAATGGGAAGGATAAAATGAAGAATAAGAGGACAGGAGACCACTGGAATGTTTTGGGTAACAAATCTTTGAAACTTGATGTACAGATACATATAATTTATTTGTATACACAACTATTAAAAATAATATACATGCATAACTTTAAAAAACCCCAAAAATTGTGAAAAACAAAAAAATGTTGCAAAACATTCTGTTTGCCAGGTCACTGTATATGTCTAAATTCTTCTTTATTATGAAATTATAGATAAATAATAGAAGTGTTTCATTAGACATGAAATATATTTGAAAAAAAATAAATTGCTTTCATATTAAATTATTAGTATACTTAGGTCTATGTGATCCTTTTCTTAGCATATATAGGTACTGATTCCAAGTATTTTGGGCCAATTCCATTTCACAGCACTTAAATATAAAGTACTCACAAGCTCTAGCGGACTGAGACGAGCACTGGAGATAGGCCTGAAATCAGATGACTCAAAACTGGATGCATGGAGGCTAGCAGAGGAGACGGAACAGAAATATTAGTTTGTGAAGAATCATTTATTTCTAGTATATGTTAGTTAACTTTAGCCCCAAACAAGTAAAAGCATTTAATGCATAAGCCTTGAGGAAGAGGCAATTTTAAAAAAAATCACAGTACTTAGAACATTTTATTAGTAAGTCTTTTCATTACTTTTAGGGGGATTAAAAGTTACTGAATAATGAAGAGAAGAAATGTATACAGTGATTTTTTAAAAAAGCTTTGTTCATATTGCTTTACAGATTTGCTATGACAACCACTATTTATCATTTTAAACCAAAGCAACTTCTGGGACCCGAGGTCTGGACTTAATATTTAGGAATCTTGAATAGATACAAGAGGTGCAATTAGCAGACATCCAACTTTAGAAAGCAACTATCCATAACTAGAATTAAGGGAAAATGTCATCTGGTAGCTTACATATCCAAGTGTACAGGCAAGAGAAATGTCATTACCTAAAGGAGGAAGGAGGTCTATTTTCTGGTGTTCTTGAAGATGCAGGCCCAAATAGCTTTCTTTGGTCTTCCCGTGGTGTAAAGGGTCGTTGGGTCCTAACTGTTCTTAATGCATTTCGTGCTTCACTTATGATCTCTGCGCTGGTCTTCTGCTTGGACATAGAAGGTCGATAAAATGGATCCAGCTTTTCTAACTTTTTATCATTTGGAGATAGCATCTTTCTTTTTAAAATAAAATGTTCTTCAGGTAGACACCACACTCTGCAAACATATGGTACAAAATATTAACTGTTTTCATCCAGGACTTTAGAAAGGAGTGCTTACAAGAACAGACACTCAGATCAATGGAATAGAATAGAGAACCCAGAAATGGACCCACAAACGTATGGCCAACTAATCTCTGACAAAGCAGGAAAGAATATCCAATGGAATAAAGACAGTCTCTTCAGCAAGTGGTGCTGGGAAAACTGGACAGCAACATGCAGAAGAATGAACCTGGACCACTTTCTTACACCATACACAAAAATAAACTCAAAATGGATGAAAGACCTCAATGTAAGACAGGAAGCCATCAAAATCCTAGAGAAGAAAGCAGGCAAAAACCTCTTTGGCCTTGGCCACAGCAATTTCTTACTCAAAACGTCTCCAGAGGCAAGGGAAACAAAAGCAAAAATGAACTATTGGAACCTCATCAAAATAAAAAGCTTCTGCACAGCGAAGGAAACAATCAGCAAAACTAAAAG